TCCTTAGAATTGGTACACGAGGAAATTACATGTTATTGTAGATTCTGATCTTCAAATCATAATAATACACCTTGGAATAAATGTCGGGCCCAATTATAGAAGAAGGCATGCTTAACAGTAAATATCCTCCCAGGTGGGTCCTCATTCCCAATAGCACGCTTGGGTCCAAGTCTTGGATTCTGAGATGTGATATTGGTCCAACAGTCAGACATCTGATGTGAACCCTGCCTTCTGCCCTGTGTTCCAGGGGAATATAAAAATTCTGAAAACAAATATGACAGGGCAATGGCTAGCACAGTGTCACTGGTCACAGGGAGTAATGATTTAACGAAATCTCACTGAACCTCGGGGTACATGGACTTTAAGGAGGCATCTTCACACTTTTTGCTCAAGCGCAGATCCCATATAGAATTCATCATCAGCCACCATAGTCTCTTGGTCACCTGCTCCTCTGCTGCTATTTCTGTCTGCATGTGTGTCTGGTTCCTGCTCTGTCTGGTGCCTTTTTTTTTGCCTTAAAATTTATTTGTCCGTAAGATATGATTTGATTTCAACTTTATACTTTCTCAATCATTCACCAGTTTTTCTAGTCCCTCATACCGAACAGTTATTTACTCATTTGTTGAATTTCCTATTTATAATTTTTCTGGACACTTCATTCTGAACCATTGACATGTTTGACTATTCTTCATTTGTATCACACACTTTTAATTGCTGTATTAAGTTTTAGGGAATCAGGTAGGTCAATCCACTTCATCTTTGTTATTTTAAAAAAATGACTTGGTTTCTGTATGTTTGAAAATTTTGATAATAAAATGTTGGGGGAAAAGGTTTGAATTTTCTTATGCAGCTATGGTTAAATTTTGAGGCAAATTGCCTAGTTCCTAAAAAATTCTCTTGCTATTTTGATTGATATTAAATTGAATCTACACATTTGAGGAAGTTTCAAATCTTGACAACATGTTGTATCTTCCCATCCAAGTACATGGAATTTAGTTCCACTCATTCAAGGTTTCTTTTATGCTATTTAATTTTTTTACTTTTATATTTCCAGCACATTACTGATCTAGTTTACTCCTAAGATTTTTAAAGTGTTTATGCACAGTACATTTTTACGTTTTGTACATTTGTATAATAGTTGGGCAAGTTACTGTCTTATTACTTCTAAAATATTTCAATTCTTTGAATGTAACACATAAAAACTAATTTTCGAAGAGGAATAACTTTTTCCTGCCACTTTATTGACCAAGTCAGAAAATACTGAATAATTGTGTGCCTGTGGTCATGTTAGTCTTTTGTCCTGGTGAAACAAGATTGCTTCTAATGTCACTGTCATGTTAATCATGTGTATTCTCGGACTATATCTTTGTTGTGCTGTATTATTATTAAGACATACTGCTCAATTCAGTTTAGGTCCTTGATTCAGTAGTTGTATTCGAAAATTGTATTGGCTTATAGAAAGATAATGTTGGACAAACAAAGAGTATTTGGTAGGATCCAGTGCAACATAAGACACTTGAACACCTATTTCTCAGAAAGGCCAAGCTTTCACGTAAACAAAAACAAACAAAACCCCCAAATTGAGCAAGGATATACAGTTTTAAATAACACAATTAGTGAGATTAATGCACTAAATATTTTTAACTATTAGGTAGAAATAGCTAATATTTCTGCATTCCATGTTAAGAAATCTATTAATGTAAAGGACATATAGAAATAACTTTTGACATGAAAATAACGACTCCGTTTATTTATTCATGTAATAGATATTTATTGACTGCCTACTAGTAACAGATTGTTCTAGACCCTAGATATGGACTGGAAACAAGGTAGACATTCTTATTTTCATGCCTCTCATATTTCTATTGGAGGAATTTGTCTTTCTTCAGTAGAAATAAGTACCATGTTTTAAGTACCATGAGAGATATATTAAGTGATGATGAGAAGCAAACTTTAGGGATGGATTTTTATGCATGACCATAGAATAGGGTTCCCAGAAGGGAGATTGTAAAGAAAGTACGGTGAGAACCGTATTTCACTTGACTTGAAGAAATTCATGTGTTCCTTCTGTTTCTCCCCAGGTTCTGTGGATCTGAGCAAAATCATCATACCTCAGCCACTGAGGAAATGATTTCTGTTGTCTTGGCAATAGATATGGTCCTCCTTGCTCAGACTGCAATAGGGATTCTCGGGAATGCTTCACTCCTTTGCCAGTATAGCTGCTCTCTTTTTAGGAGACAGAGATTGAGACCTTTAGAGCAAATAATTAACCATCTTGCTTTGGCCAATGCTTTGACCCTTCTTTGTGGGGGAATCTCTCGGACGATGGCACCCTATGGGTTGAAATATTTCCTAGATGATGTTGGATGTAAACTTGTCTTTTATTTTCACAGAGTGGCCTGGGGAAATTCCCTCAGCACCACCTGTCTTTTGGGTGGCTTCCAAGCCTTAAGTATTAAACCCACAAACTCTAGATGGGCAGAGCTCAAATTCAAATCCCCAGAGCATATTAATTCTCCATGCATCCTGAGCTGGGTGTTTCATTTGCTGGTAAATATCATTGTTCCTATGAGAGTGACTGAACAAAAGAATAGCAGAAATATCAGTGTGAAATCAGATCTTGGATATTGCTCTCGTCTGTTTATTAACACAATTACAGAATCAATATGTTCAGTTATTTTCTCCTCTGTTGATGTTATTTGTTTGGGACTCATGATGTGGGCCAGTGGATCCATGATATTTTTCCTTCAGAGGCACAAACAGCAGGTCCGATACATTCACAGCACTAGGCGATCCCCCCAAATATCCCCAGAGACCAAAGCCACAAAATCTATCCTGATGCTTGTGAGCACTTTTGTCATATTTTATTCTCTCTCTTCTGCTTTTGAAATGTATGCCTATCTTTTTGACAACCCACAGTTGTGGCTTGTGAACAGCGGTGTGCTTCTATCCTGTTGTTTTCCAACCCTCAGTCCCTTTTTGCTCTTAAAAAGTGACGCCCATGTCTCCAGCCTCTGCTTTTCCTGCTGAGGAAGTTGTAGAACTCACCCAATTCCTGAGAGCGTTGCACAACATTCATTCACCCGTTCATCTCATACTGTGAAGCACCTTCTCTGTACCACTCATGTTGTAGACACAGTGGTAAACAGCAAGGGCATCTGCTCCAGTGAAATCTGTGGGGAATCCAGACATCAAACAAGCAATTACACAAATAGTTATATAATTGCAGTTGCGCAGATTGCTGCAATGAAGAGCTCGGGATAGTATGTTTCAGGATTATAGAAAGCTTCCCTTTATATCTGCGGTTTAGGCTACTCCCTGAATATTTTGGACGAGTCCACCGGCTACAGTGAGTGTTTTAGGCAAATGGAAAAGCACATTTGAACACCATTTGCAGGAAGAAACATAAAACATACAAAGAACCGAAAGAAATCCCATGTGCCTCGTGAGCCAAGAACAAGAGAATTCGGCATGAGCTGAGGTTATTGAGTTAGGGTGGGGTTACAATGTGCCAGGTTTTACAGATTAAGTTAAGAATTTGTATGACAAGTCCCAGCAGTAATATCAGGCAATTTAAGAATTTTTTTTTTATCAAGGAGAAGGGGGGCATTTAAAAAATTATCCAATTTGCCTAACAACTGTGAGAATGGTTTATTGAATTGATCAAGAGTGAACTTGGGAAAAAGAATTAGGAGGCTTGAAGTAAACCAGGTGAGAGAGGATGATGATTCTGTTACAGATGATGGAAATTAACATGAAGAGGAGCATATGGACTTGAAAAATACTTCCTTAGACAGAAGTATGCACTGAAGTTAGTGATTGTTTCATAAAGGGTTGTTTAAAACTGGTGTGGACAATGACTCTCAATTCTCTTAAGACTTGGTTGTGGTGGTGTTTCTTGATATTGAAAACCCGAGGAAGCTGTAGTTTGGGTGTAAAAGATACTGCACATTCTTTTTAGCACATGGAGTGTGTTACCTCTCTAAGACATCAGCGTCATGCACGTGTCTGGTCATACATCACACACACGTATATATGAGTGGAGCACAGATGGAGGGTTTGCTTCGGAAATAGACATTTGGTTGTCAACAACATATATTGGCAATAGGCGCTTAGGTTGGGTTGAAATAAGAGAAAGGGAAATTTGAGAGTGAGGAGAATAGGCGTGAGACCTAGTAACAAGTTAGCTTCATTTAAAGAGCAGATAGAGGAGGTGGATCTACACTTTCTGTTCATTCATTCGTTGAGTCATTCATTTTATGAAGACTATTTAATGATCCCCACTCTATGCCAGTCACTGTTATGGGTGACATTGGATATTAATAAATAAGATAGGAAAAAATAATGGTCCTTATGGAGTTTACATTCTACTGAGGGTGGCAGAAAATGTTCAACAGATAACATTGTAGTATTTCAGCTGCTGGTAAGTGCTCTGTTGAAAAGTAATGAATCGGAGCGGGGGAAGGAATGCCCTGGGCGATACAGTTTTAAATAATCTGGTCAGGAGATCCCTTTCTGAGACGTGATGTTTGATCAGAGTCCTGAATGACTTGAGAGAGGGAGTGATGCATAGGCCCTTGGCAAGAATGGAGAGGGTGGAGGGAATAGGCAGAGGAGAGATTGAGCAAGGACCATTACTGGTGTGCTGTCGGAATAGCAGTGTGGCTGCAGGGGACGTGAGAATGGGCAAGGAATAGGAGTGAAAAGTGCCAGCTTATATGAGGTGTTGTAGGTAGTGTAACGATTTTCACATTTACCCTACGAGAGAGGGAGCCATCAGAGGCTTTTATCTTTTTGAAAGAATGATGGGTGTGGTTTTATACTGTGTCAATTTAGCTTGGCTGGACTGATGTTTCCAAGAACTCCTTTCTTGAATGGTTTCAGATTAGGGTTAGCCGAGGCGACATTTGTGCCGTATATAGAAGTCAGAAGAGAAGCAGTAGCCATGTGTTCTGCAGGGCAGTGTGGGCCCCAGGTGCTGCAGCTCGTGTGCTGGCGTGATGCCCCAGCTGGACCTGCGGCTGCCCCGGCTCCTGCCAGGCATCCTCCTTCAGCTTCTGCCAGTGCTGGGCCAGGTGTGTGTGCAGTCCATGGCAGGGTACCAACTTCTGCAGGTCACCCATGTTGTAGAAGTTGGAGGTCGTGAGACACCGACACAGGTCCCAGTTTGTCTTCACTCTCTCCTCTTTCACGTCTAGCTTTTATATCCTGACTACCTGGCCTGCCAAACTACATTGACGTCAGGCCCACCACCAAACACAGAGGCAACAGCATCCCATGGACTTCTTCACCAGCTCACACAATTGTGAAAGGTCTAATCCTTATAAAAAATTCCGTATTCCATATCCCTCCCAGTGGTTCCTTTTCTGATTGAATCCTAACTGATAACAGTGATGTTTCTCCTGGGTTCTTGCTGGGGAGATCAAAGCAGGAGACTAGGGACCATTTAGAAGGCAAACTGCAATAATCCAGGTGATGTATGATGGAATAGTGTCCTACCAGTGGAAGTGGTGAGCATTGTTCAAATTCACGTATATTTTTATGCATTTGCCTTCTTTCCTTTCTGAGATAATTACAATCCCCAGGCAAACACAAGTCTTTATTGTCTTGTTATTTCTGTGCCAGCTTCCAGCACAGATGAGATTTATAAAAGTTCCAGGCTCTTGTTTATTTGACCTGATGCCTTTTTTCCCCATAAATTTTCTGGCATTCATAAGGAAAAGGGTCCAAATCATAAGTCTATAGACCATTACATTTTCACAATTTGAAAACTCTTATGAAACCAAAACCCAGATTAAGAAACAGAATAATACCAACATCCCAGGATCTACTTTTATGCTGTAATCAAGTCGCTACTCCCAAAGGTAACTACTATCCAGATTTTTAACACCATAGATTGGTATGACTGTATTTGAGCTTTGTATAAATGGAATCAGACAGTAGGTATACTCCATTGCACCTGACTTCTATGTCAGGCTCAACATGATTCTGAAATCCCCACATGTTGTTGCATGTAGTTAAAGTTCTTTTATTCTCTTACTTGCATATTATTCCATAGTATAAAAACAAGACAATTTAATCCTTCTAATGTACATGCTCATTTGGCTTTTTTTCTGTTTGGCGAGTAGAGTAGTGCTGTCATGAATATGTTTACACATGCCTTTTGAGACATTTATATATGAGTTTCCTCTGAGAATATAGCTAGAGAAAAATCCTGGATCATTTGGTAGGCATATCTTAGCTTTTGTAGACAATGCCAAACAGTTTTCCAAAGTGGTTGTACCAATGAATTGATATTTCCACCAGCGGTGTATGAGAATTCTGTTACTCCAAATATGCCCCCCAAATTTGGTATTGTCTATTTTTTTTCATTTTCACCACACTGATGGGTATGTAGTGATATCACACTATGATTTTAATTTTCATTTCCTTATGACTACTGACATTAAAAATCTGTACATATATTTATTGGCCATTTGGCTGTCTTGTTTTGTGAAGTTCTTTTTAAAAAATGTTGCCATTTTGTTCTATTGATTATTTCCCTTTTAAAAAATTTATGGTTAAGAGGTCTTTATGTATTCTAGTATGGGTCCATTGTAGGATATATTCAGTGTAAGTATCTTCTCCCAGTTTTTGCCTTTTCTCTTTCTTATTCATGTATGTTATGAATAGAAATTCTTAATTTTAAAGTAGTCCATTGTATTATTTTTTCCTCTTAAATTGGAGCTTTTGCTTTCCTGTTAAGGAAATCTTTGCATAATCCAAGGTCATGATCATATTCTTCTCTTCTTTCATTGAAAATTTTTCTTGTTTATACTTTCACATTTACATGTATAGTATATATGATTTCATTCTTGTGGATGGTGTGAGGTAGACATTAAAGGCTTCCTTTTCTTATGGATATCCAACCATCCAAGAACCATTTATGTACCCCAGTGTACTGCAGTGTCTCTTCTGTCATGAATCAGGTGGCGAGATATTTGTGGGTCAGTTTCTAGACTCTCCTCTCTTTTCTGTCGGTATATTTGTCTATCCTTGTGCTGCTGTCGCGCTGTCTTAATTATAATAGCTTTATAATAAGCCCTCCAGCTTTGTTCTTTTTCTTCAGTTATGCCTTAGGCATTCTTTGCTCTTTACATTTCCACAGACATTTTTAGAATCAGCTTATAAATTTTCACAAACAGTCCTGCTGGAATTTTGCCTGGGGTTGCATTGAATGTGTAGATCGATTTGGGAGAACTGATATTCTGAAAACCTGAGAAGTGCAATCTTTAAACATAGTATATCCCCCACTTATAGAGTTCTTATTTGATTTTTCTCAGGAATGATTTGTGGTTTTCAGTGTAGAGGTCTTAGACGTCATTTTTAAGATGTTTTCCTAAATATTTCATGTCTTTGATGTTATTTTAAATGGCATCACTTTTAAAATTTCATTTTATATTTCTTTGTTGGTAGTACTTAGAAAGTACATAGAAATAAAATCAGCTTTGTATTTTGAATTCGAATCCAGCGACATTGCTAAATTATAATATATTGCTGTAGATTCTTTTTTATTTTCTATATGCACCATCATGTCATCTGTGGATAATAACAGGTTTATTTATTTTCATTCAATATATATGCCTTTTATTCATTTGTCTTGCCTTAAATGCATTGGATAGAAACTTCAACAAAGTGGTAAGAATGGGCATGCTTGCTTTTAATTCTGATCTTAAGGGGGAAAACTTTCAATTTCTCAACATTAATTATAATAACTCATCATGAATTATGATTTGCTGTAGAAATTTTAGATGATATTTGTAAGAATAAAGAAGTTCTCTTTTGTTCTTAGTTTGCTAAGGGTTTGCATTTCTTGTATAAATCCTACATGGTCGTGATATATTATACTTCTTATATTTTTCTTGATTTGCTAATATTTTGATAAGGATTTTTCCATCTGTGTTTATGAGATACGTCTTAAAATATCTTTGTCAGGTTTTAGTGTCAGAATTATTGGACTTTCGGAATGAGTTAGGAAGTGTTTTCTTTTTTCTATTCTCTTGATGAATTTGTATAAGATTAATGTTATTGCCTTCTTAAATGTTTAGAATAATTCACTTGTGAAGCAATCCAGGCATGGAGTATTCCTGTGGGAAAATTTTAAAATAGTGGTCCAATTTCTTTAATAAGGTTAGGAGGATTCAGAGTTTCTATTTCTTCTTGTGTCAATTTTCATGGGTTTTATTTTTCAAGAAAATTGATCATTTAACTAAGTTGTCAAATATTGAAAATTTGTTTGTTGAATCCTCATTACCTTTTAAAATGTCTGTAGACTCTGTGTTCTGGTCCCCTTTATCATTCCTGATATTGATGAATTTTCTTTCCTTTCTTCCTTCCTTCTCTTTCTCTCTTTCCCTTTTTCCCTCTCTCCCTCCTCCTTCTGTCTTTCTTTCTTACACTTTGCTAGAGGTTTTTCAATTATGTTAATTTTTTAAATTCTCTATTGTATATGTTTTATATTTCACTGACTTCTGCTCTTATCTTTGTCATTCCCTTTTTATATATATGTTCTTTGACTTGATTTGCTGTTTTCTTTAGATTCTTGTGATGAGAGCAAACAATTTTCAGCTTTTCTTCTCTTTAAAAAATATTTATTTAAGGCTATAAATTGGACTCTAAGTGCTCTGGCTGTCTCCCACAAGTTTGTGTGTCATATATTTATCATTCAATTGAAAATATTTTCAATTTCCCTTTTGACTTCTCCTTTGACTATGTTTTATTTAGCAAGGTCTTGCTTAATTCCCAAAATGTTGTGGATTTTCTACTTACCTTGTTGTTATTTCTCACTCAATTCCACTGTGGCTAGAGAACAGACTTTGCGTTTTTTCAGTCCTTTGACCTTTGTCAAGGTTTGCTATATGACCTGGGATATAGTCAATTTTGGTAAATATTTCTGTGCAGTTGAAAAGAAGATGTAGTCTTCCGCTGATTTGTTAAATGTTCTGTTTCAACAATTGCTCAGTGTTCTGTTCAACAATTAAGTCATGTTTGCTAATTGTGTTGTTCAGATAGTGCATATTCTTGCTTATTATTTATATGATTGTTTTATCATCTATGAAGATGTTTGTTAAAATCTCCCACTATCATTGTGGATTCTTCCGCTTCTCCTTTCAGTTCTGGTGGAATTGGCCTTAGTCCAGAACGTGAAGCGTTCGTCCTCAGTCACAGGCAGTAAGAAAGAATATATGGGTGGGCACATACCTATGTAGATAGCTAGCTGACATAGTAAGAGGTTGTACAACCTCTTTTTTGATTGCAAGGCCATAAGCTGAGAGTAAAGATGAGGGGAGGTGTTAGAGTTTGGAAGAAAGAGGAGAGGTTAAGCGGTAGTCATGTAGGAGAGAGGGAGGGTGAATGAGACGGGAGACTATCATATGACTGCCGTTGGGAGAGAAAGTCCTCCAAGGGCGTCTCAGGCTCTTACATGTCTTGCCGAGTGTGCCAAGAATGCAAGGCCCTGCTCTCTCTTTGGGCTGTTTCTCAGGGTTATGTTTGCGGTGAACATTGTGAGGGATGAGGTCATGTCTACCTTAGGGACAAAGTGCAGACTTGCTTACACTTTGCTATACAACAGCAGGTTCCCAAAGCTTAGTTACTTATCCTGTAACACAGCCTAATCTATATGCAGGCATCCATCTGGACCTTTCCATATTGCCCTCAGGGGACTTGGGGGCAAAGGAAATCAAAGCAAAATATGCTGATACTAAAGCTGCTTTCTGTGGCATGAGTAATAAATTCCTTTGTCTCTGACCCAGGAGTCTAATGTCTTCTGATAGCATCCGTAAAATATAACAGGTGACTTTTATTAGCTTCCAAGTAGGGAAAAATCAAATCCCAGACCTGACAACTGTCGCTCAACTTTAAGTGCCTTCATGAGGTTAATGATCATGAATTTAAAGTAAGATCATTGAGCTTTTTTTCTTTGTTTAGTTCATGCACTCCACTTTGGCAGCCCAGGGTTCGTGGGTTTGGACTCCAGGTGCGGACCTACACACTGCTCATCAAGCCATGCTGTGACGGCATCCTGTATACAAAA